GCAGTAATTTATAACAAAAGACAAGTTTTGATGCAGTTTCTAAACCTAAACAATTTCTCAATTTGCCTATGCACGAATGAGAAATTTGAGAAGATTCTCTCAAGTTCAGCAGAACTAGCTGGCATTGCCATCAAGGAACAAGCAAGATAAGTGAAACTTTCATCCATTGCATATTTTTTAAAACTGGGCCACCATGTAGCAGCTGGGGTAGTTGTCGAAACTTGACAGGTATAATAAGTTTCAGGAAATGGGTCCGATTTGTTTTATATAAATATTTGATATACTGCACTCTTTATAATTAATATAAACAAAATATATATTTACAAACAATGAATTAAAAAGTTTGTTACAGTTATATGGAGTTACATTTTTCAGTTTACTTAAACAAAATGTCATTAAGCAATTACTAGAACTAATATAGATGTATTTTTAGTTTCTGCCAGTTTTTACCGGCTATAACCAGTTTCTGCCACTGGCATGGCAAAAACCAGTTTCTGCTGGCAAAAAGCCAACCCTGCATGCAACCATCTATAAGCTGGGACAAACCTCAACTGACCACCTTGTCTTAGATTAGTTGCCAATTATTTCTCATCTTAAAATTTCTTTTAAAATCATATAGTTTCTCTATGAGCATAAATAATTAAGATTGAAAAAGCCATCCCCAGAATCTATGGACAATTTGGCATAACTCAACTAGGGAAGTAATGAATAGTGATTTGACCAAATAGCTGAACATAGCCAAACATCGGAAGTACGGAAGGAAAAAAAAAGGCCAAATACAGAATATTCAGTGAAGGAATATTAACATTTTTCTAGATATAGTCAATCAGAAATGCTNAACCACGGAACCCCTTTCAGAACACATTTCTCTGCAACCACGTGTTTACCGTAGGTAAGGTTTTTTCATGTAAGACGTTCAAATTTTTTATGCACTAATGTAAGATGGACAAATACCTAGTAAAGGCAAAATCTTCTATGATGATGCAGCAAGAATATTCATTGCTTTAAAAAATAGAAGACATTAAAAATGGATTATAATAACAGAAATGATTTTTTTTTCAAGTCTATTTGTGTTTTTTTAGTTTTTAGAAATCTCACTTAACTTTCTGAAATCTCACCCTGTTTTTGAGAAAGGGTGAGAAATTCTCACCCATTTTTTTTCTATGATGAAAACACTGTACATGCACATTAGTATTAATAGTTATACGCATAACTATATTCAAATAAAGTAATCATCATTAAGTAATATTAGTAATTTCGGTTCTAACGAAATTACATTAAGATTCCCTAATGTCACTGCGTTCACCTATTTTCTGAGTTTTAAAAAATCAGCTGGTTGTAGGCTCAGCCACTAACAATGGGATTGCTGAACTTTGGACTAAAGTGTCAGTTATATATTTTCTCTTTAGAAGCAGCATGCATACAACAGGGGTGATTATGAGCCCAAGTCAAAATTTCAGAAAATTTCTTGAGTTAAAAAACAAACAAACCCAGTTTAAATTGAAAAAAATTTAAGGTTTTTTTCTCCCTTTTTCAATATTTCTTAGTTTACATATCTCCCTTACAAAAAAATAAACTGTGTTTTTAAGTTCCACCTTTGAAAATTTTATTTCCGGAAACTTCTGTGTTCAATGATTTTTTTAAATATCTGGGCCATCGATGTCCGGAAACTTCCAGATCACTGTTAGTGAAAATTCCGGAAATCCGGATTTTTTCCAGAGCACAATCAGCCCTGCAGTTTTGAAAAGGAAAATTAATGTATTTTAAGATTATAACAGTTGACTAACACTTTCATGAATGAAATATAAACCTGCAACAGAAATACAACCTAACCAAAAAGGTCACACATAAGGTTTATGTAATTTGTCAATACCAGTTTAAAAAGTTTATTACATGCAATCAAGGTTATCAAGTTTTTGCAGAAGTGGTTAAAACCACTGGTAGAAACCGGTTAAAAACGGCGTGGCAGAAATTCAGAAAATGACATTAAAGTACTGAGATTGTGACATACAATGGATAATTCATAGGAAAAACAATTAAATGTTAAACAAAGTACAACTTATTTACAAAATTATCACCATTCAAAATCAAAAATATTACATTGTTTGCACTCTGCAGTAATTTATAACAAAAGACAAGTTTTGATGCAGTTTCTAAACCTAAACAATTTCTCAATTTGCCTATGCACGAATGAGAAATTTGAGAAGATTCTCTCAAGTTCAGCAGAACTAGCTGGCATTGCCATCAAGGAACAAGCAAGATATGTGAAACTTTCATCAATTGCATATTTTTTAAAACTGGGCCACCATGTAGCAGCTGGGGTAGTTGTCGAAACTTGATAGGAAAAATAAGTTTCAGGAAATGGGTCCGATTTGTTTTATATAAATATTTGATATACTGCACTATTTATAATTAATATAAACAAAATAATATATATTTACAAACAATGAATTAAAAAGTTTGTTACAGTTATATGGAGTTACATTTTTCAGTTTACGTAAACAAACTGTCATTAAGCAATTACTAGAACTAATATAGATGTATTTTTAGTTTCTGCCAGTTTTTACCGGCTATAACCAGTTTCTGCCACTGGCAAAAGGCCCCAACCCTGCATGCAACCATCTATAAGCTGGGACAAACCTCAACTGATCACCTTGTCTTAGATTAAGTTGCCAATTATTTCTCATCTTAAAATTATTCTTTTAAAATCATAGTTTCTCTATGAGCATAAATAATTAAGATTGAAAAAGCCACACCCAGAATCTATGGATAATTTGGCATAACTCAACTAGGGATGTAATGAATAGTGATTTGACCAAATAGCTGAACATAGCCAAACATCGGAAGTACGGAAGGAAAAAAAAAGGCCAAATACAGAATATTCAGTGAAGGAATATTAACATTTTTCTAGATATAGTCAATCAGAAATGCTGTGCTATCATTAAAATACATATAAAAAAGATTGCATACAAAAGCAAAAAATAAAAATCAGTAATTTTTGAACAAAAAATTTACGATAGACCACTTTAGCTTTCCAATTACAGTTTTTCTAGATAAAATGGATGGGAAAAAAAACATTCATAAGAAACACTATTCAATAAATGCTATCATAATAAAAATGCCAAGAAAACTTAACCAAGAAGGCAAAAGATAAACAAAGAAAAATTTTTCTTAAAAAATAATGTTAACGTTGAAAATCACAGCCTTCTATGTTATCTGTTTTACCGTACAGGAAAAAAAAGTAATAATAAAAGAATTAAATCTATTTGAAACATGCCATTAAAATGTTGCGCTATAATAAAAACAGAAACCAGCAAAAAAATAAAAAAAAGCAAAGCAATTTTCAACCTTATAGCAATTCTTCTCAATTCTTAAAACAAAATTTTTTAAAAACTGCAAAATTTAATTGCTTGAATATATATATTTAAAAAAAAAAAAAAAAAAAAGCCAGTTATCCAAAAAACTTGCCCAGTTCAGTATAAAGTAATCTAGTTTCAATTCTTCAAATCTTTTTTGTTAACTTTTCTCTCAGAACAGAAATTTGCAAGTTTTAAAACTTAACAAATATCAGTAAAAACTACTTCTAATAATGCAAAGTAAAAAATATGATCTTATATCTTTATTTAATCAATTCAAATCCCAAAAAAGAAAAAGAAAATAACTGCCGAAAAATACTTCACAGAATATTTGGCCAACCAAATATTCAGTTAAAGGGCCGAAAACAGAACAATGGCCGAATATTCGTTATATTCCTATACTCAACTATAACTTTATTTTAGACTAATTCCAAATCGCATTCTAACTTTAATAACAAACTTATATTCTTTTAATTATTACTTTAAAATCAAAACATTTTGCCAAATGCAAATCTTAAAATTTTTTTTGCATATAATTTTTCCTTCAAGTGAATTAAAACATTCGCTAAAACAAGATTTTATTGACAAAATTTACAATTCTATCACATTTGGTGAGGTGGCGAATGCTTAGCGTGGGCCCTAGATAAGTAAAATACTCATTTCCAAAATCTTGATTTTATCGCCCCACACACAAAATAAAAGACTTACTCTCTCATACACATTCAGAGATAAGAGTCATATGTGTGTCTTTTCATAGTAAAGGATCAATTAAAAATCTGAGTACTATAAACCTATAATTTAACAGGGGTAGAAATTTTTTAAAAAAATTACTGGTCCAGAGTACCAGTAACTAAAACATTTTACTAGTCCGCACAAAACTTTACTGGTCCGTCTACACGTTCCTATTAGCTGCAAATAAATAAATAAAAATTAAAATTTTTGATTGAAAAAATCATGATTTTTTTTTTTAAAAATCATAAATTTTTGATTTAAATCGCGTTTTTTTGATTAATATTAATTTTGTATAAAAATTTTTTTTAAAAAAATTGTGAATAAGCTCTAAAATAGTTTTAAGTAAGATCGTTTAAGTTCCATAAGATCGGCTGCGAGAATAGATTAACGGAGATCAGCTGCGGCGGATAGTGGTCCGGCGGACCACTGTTTATTATTTTATGCTGGTCCTACTCCGATTTTAGTGTTCACGGACCAACGGACCACCATTAATTTCGAGCCCTGTTTAATTTAACCAATTTTGAAACAAACACTACAGCAGAAAGTAAATCGATATTGTTACCGACCAATAAACCAAACATTAATTGTAGAAGAAAAAGAGATCAATGAGTTTTGAAAGGCAATTAATTAAACTTGACTCCTGAAGTTATTTAGGAACAAATGGAAATATGCAAATATAAGTTATAGAATGTCTTTTTAAAAATTATTTAATAACTAATGGATTTTTAGTTAATCCATTAACTAATATAGTGTTAAGTATTTGGTTTGGGATTTTCTGAATGTGGTGTGCTTTTGTTTTGGCAAAGGAATGTTTATAAGTAGGTTTTTTGAAAATTATTTTTCCCTTTGTAATAAGTTTATATATTTTACTTCTGTACTTTGTATTCTCTTTTTCGGGACTTCTTGCAAAGCCTTTGGAATACAGAGAGCAAATTTTAGACATTTGGTGTGTTCTCTGGAAGAATAGGTTTTGTATTTTTATGACGACGTCAGCTTCGGTCGTCATTTTTATATTTTTTATTGTTTTCTTCGTCTACAATTTGTTATAGGTTTCAATTTTCTTGTGGAATTTCTGCTGCATTGCGCAACTTTCCCTTAAAATTGAAGTTTTTAGATGTTTATAAACGATTTTTAATTTTTTTTTTTACTATATCTCATAAACAAATACAATTTAAATTGTCAACTTCAAGAATTGATTGCACATAGCACTGGTACAAATTCCGAGCAGAGGACCGCGTGAAATTAAAAATCATTACAGAAGGCACCAACTCGAAGAGTATAACTCATAGGCCACTCCCGGTGGAAACTTCACAATTTGATTAAAAAAATTCAAGTTTAAAATCCATTTGGCGTCTTGGTGACTGTAGTTGATGCAACAGATCACGATGCAGAAATATTCCCGCCTTTCGGTTTAAATAAATATAATGTATGAAGACATTGGTTTATCTAGGAACAACACATTAGACTATATGAGAGAAAATTCTATGAAAGAGCACTTACCATTTCATTGGATCAACATAAAATGATTTAATGAAATTAAAAACTCCCGGTTGTGGTCGAGGTCTTGACTGTGGAGGAGCGAACATTATTAATTCAGTTCTGCAAAGAAAATTAATAAGACGCAACTTACTTTAGATAAAAATGTCACAGTTTGAAGTGAAAATTAATTCATATAACGTAAATTTTGGAATCAAACTTACATAAGAGGAACAGGGTTAAAAATTCTTTTTTTTCTTTCAAGAAACGAGCAAGTACTAGTTGTTGCCAGAAATTAAAAGTTAATCCCGCCTGTTTCATGGATATTTTCACTGCTAAAAGCCTATTTTCACTGCTTACAAATTTTTCGCATGTGAACAAGTGAAAAATAATTCCTCTGAATAAACTCACCAATCAGGTTCTCGTTGCCAGCAGTTATCGCACCTATAAATGCAGTTAACAGAAAAAGAGAACCTGATTGGCGTATTTTTCTTATGAAAATAAATATTATACCAATCGTGTTTCCAAATCAGTGATCAGTGATCTGAACTGCATTTTCATCAGTGATCTGAATTGCAGCAACCACTTTCGGTGAGAATGCTAAGGTGACTACGATAAAACTACGACACGCTAAACTACGATATGAGAACAAATCAGCGGAGCTTTCTAAAATAATTTTGTGACTCATGAACTCTCATATGGATGGTGTTTTCAATTCACCTCGTTTTCTAAATAAGCAAACAAACAACTAGTTAAGCGGAAGTAACTTCACCCGGTCCGTACGAACTTCCGCTACATCGCCATAGCCTTCTTATTATTATGTTTTGCATTAGATTTCCAAACATTGTTGGCGTTTTCTCTTATCTTGATAACGTTTGGTGTTTGGAAATTAAAAAATCTGTTTCATTAAATGAGCTTTTCCTATTATCACAAGTTGAATGATAATGGCAAGAAAAAATTGTCAATAAAAAATAATATAAAATATATATTATAGAAAAAATAATATTCAGTTGTCTGATCCTTTTTCTGGAGAGTTATTTTAAAGTTTAAAATATGAAATACAATTAAGTTTTTAAAAGACACTGGTCTCTAGCAGCTAAATATTAAGTTAAGATATATTTACCTCGCAGATATACTAATTATTCATGGCATTCTAAAAGTATGCACAGCTTAAAACCTGCAACTTTTAGATATGACATTAAAAGAAGTACAAAATGTGGCTTTATTGTCAATTTGTAACAGAAATTCTATTTTCTTTAAAAAATTACGCTTCACAATGGAAATATTTTTTTTCTTTCTTAAATAAAAGCAATATCTTCAATTCCTGCACTAAAACAAAAAAAGAAAAAAAACAAGAGATATGTTACTTCATCAAATTTTCTTAAAATGCATTCATTTTATTTTTCTTTAGGGAGTTTAATTGTTTAAAGCAGGGGTGGTCAACACTGGAGCATCTTGTGCACCACTTTTAGTGTAAAAAATCCTGAACATGGCAATTATTAATATAAATTTTATGTCAAGTCAATAAGTGCTACCGTATTAATGTTGTTCATTGAATTATTACATGTACAGTAATTTTTTTTCTAGATCAAATAAAGCTATACGTTAGTAAATATCACAGATGTTATCTTTAAAATCTTGAATTGTTTCTAGTGAAATTTAAACAATGGCTAACATTTAACCAATCACAATTTTTTGCTCATCATTTTTATGTATTTAAATGAGCAAGAAAATAATGAACAGAAAATTACATTTAATTATTTTTTTTAAATGAAATAATTTTACAATTACAAATAATAAGGAGAAAACTTACAAGGATACAAACACTAATGTGATTTCTGTATTGTTTTAATTTTTACTAATTCTTTTATATTTAAAATTTAAAAAATTTTTTTTTTTTTTCAATTTAAATTAAGTTTGTGTGCCACATAAAATGCCACCTCTGGTTTAAAGTAACTTTATTTTTTATATGTCAAATATAGCACACACGAATCTGAATTATTTAGTGTTAAAAGTCATGTTTCTCTATTCAGATATTACCTTAAATTTTACATTACATTATGGGAAAGTACCAATTTTATTTTAAATTACGCTTGATGAAATCTTGAATTTTAAAGAATAAGAATACTGTATATATTAGATAAAAAAATATTTTTGGAAAATTTTAAGAAATATATACAGAAAAGTTCGTTTTGTTCAGATGATATGTTTTTTTTAAACTCAAAATTTCAGGAGGGGGATAGCATGGACCCTTTGCTTCATCACTGAGTAGAAACAAATATAGCCCATGTTAAAAAAAAGTATAGTGTAGAGCTTTATTCTGTAATAATTCCAGGCAATGGTTGCGTATAGATCTTTATATTGAGTTATTTAGAGACTTTAAAAACAAACACACTCCAAAGAACCTTTATTTCTTTTTTAACTTTTATGTATTCAAAGAACCTTTATTTAACTTTTATGTATTTTTCCTAAAAATGGATTTTTCCTATTAATCAACGATGATTGAATCAGCCTAAGTAAAAACATTAGAAAAGAAATAAGTTCCGGTTGCTCCGGAAGTTTATGCGAACCATTACGTCTGCAAGAGAAAATAAGTCCCGCCTACAGATAAGGCGAATATAAATGTAAACAATAACAATCTCGAACTCCATACCTGCTCTATTTCCGGTAAAAAAGTTTGCAGCTGCTTACTACCTGTTATTCTGAAAGGCGATATTTTCAAACAGATAATTTTGTTTTCATTAAAAGATGTAAATTAGATAATTTCTGAGCTCAAATCTGCCGTATTCCATAAGACATTAATGCTATTAAGTAATTCTGGTGAGTTTGAAGTGAAAATTTATTTTAGTTATTTATAGATATACTTTTAAAAAAGGTGACATGGTTGCTAGATTTTGAGTAACTCGCTTTTCGGCAGTCCTGATTTGGCCTCTTTCCATTTGTTTATTACTGTTTGTTCTTGTTGCAAGCTGTGCACCATCTTACGCTAGTGTTAACACTTTAAGCATTGTAAACACAAGTATTGTTAGCATTGTAAACGCAAGTAATAAGTAACCAAATACCACGTTTGCAAGAACTTCAAAACACAATGACGCCAAATGGCTTCAAAATACAACGGAAACAGTAACACGGAAGTATAGGCGGTATGGAGCTTGCAGCATTCCCTAATGTAGAAACTTAATACTAATTAAGAATGTATAATTAAAGAATAAATACAAAGCATTCTTTTTTTAAAGAATTAATAACTAATATCAGATACAGAGCCATCTTCAAGCTTGGTATCAATCCCAAATAGTACACATTGTCACAGCAATGTCATAAAACAGTAAAAAATTATTTGATTGTCCCAAGGTAGCCATATTGTGACTTTGATGTTACTCTGTCTCGTGGCATCCCATAATTATGGACCCCATAATATGACTACCCAAGTTGCACCTAATATTAGATAACATCAGAAAAATCTAACGTTATTTTTCGCAACTTTCTAATACTACGAAGATGCAAACGGTCACTGTTTTCTCTGCATTATATAACATTAGATTCTATACAAACTAATATTATCTAGTGATCACCGTTTCATTACTTTGCATTGGTTTTTATGCTATATAATATTAGATTTTGTATATTCTGATATTATCTTGCGTTGCATTTTATTTTTGGACTAAGCAAGGTGAAGATTTGGATGGTAGTAGAATAATTCGGTAAGATAATTTTACTTAATTTTCTGTATTGTTGTCAAACACTAAAACATAGAACAATAGTTTTATAATGTCATTCCATGCATAATTTTCTTAGCAATATATAAATACTAAATAAAATTATATTAGCGAACTCTGCTACTATCCATTTTCCTCCCTCTTACTCCAAAGTATATCTTATGATCAGCTGATATTTTTTTTTTTAATATTTCAAATTGAATTAAGAAATAATACTATAGCGCAACTTTTATTGATATTTTTTTCTTTTATTTATACGATGGGTTTTCTGACGAATTTTATATCATTAATCCTTCAGTCTTTAATTTTAAAATGCTATTCTCAATTTTTTTTAGAAATGATTCTATTTTGGTGATATGATGAAAAATGGTGATAGGAGATAATTTTTAAAAAAAAGCCTATAGGATAAATTTGATTTAAAATCTATACTCTTTTTAATTGGAAAGATAAAATTATTTTTTTTGTCAAAAAGTTTAAAGGTAAATTTCCTATCTTTATTTATTTTAAGAGATAAATCTATAGAAAATTTGCTGAAAGATATCAAATATCAGTTTAGTTAAAAATTAATTTAGTTGGATAAATTTGGTTCGCTAAAATTTTAAAATCATCAAAATTAATAACCAAAAAATCATCAATAAATCTCAGAAAGAATGAATTTGGTGAAAAATTATCAAATGATTTAACGAATCTAATATTCATAAGAAAAAAAATATTGCAAACATTAGTATTATAAATTTTTTTTAAAAAAGTAGTTATTAAATAGAATATAATTGTTGTTGGGGTTAATATGAATTTCCATCTGTGTTCATAAATAATATAATTGAGATTAAACAGGCTATGAATTTGAAAAAGGTCATCAAGAATTTTATTAGTTGGAAGGGAAGTATATAAGTTTTTGAAGTCTCAGACTTAGACTAAGAGGTTGGGCAGCTCCAAAGAGAAGGGCACATCGACCAGAAGTCTATTTTACCCAAACCCTAAATCATGATTAGCATGAAAGCCCTATAGCTGAAATAAAATTCAGCAAACACCTTACAGGAGCATCCTGCAGTTCCCAGGTTTTAATGCAATGCTGCCCCCAAATGCTCAAATCTTTGAGCAGAATAGACCTCACAATCACAGAGTATATGACGTGATGTCTCTTCTTCAAGATGACAACCTCGACAAAGAGAATTGGATTTAATTCCTATTATGTATAGGCGTCTCCTGAGAAGTCCAGTAAGAAAACCAATGATCTTCCTCAAACTGTTTCTATTGAGCTTTAAAAGCTCTTCTTGACGTACACTAGGACAGTCACGATTCAGCTCCTTAGCTTGTCTCTGACCGTCAGAGACACGCCATTGCTCATGGGCAATTTTGCCACAAAGCTTGAATATAGATACCGTAAAAGAGGTGGGAGAAATTCCCAATGCATGTTCAGGCCCCCAGAAAATTGCATTAGAGCCAGCCCGTGCAGCTAGTTTTTGAAATCAAAACAGCATATAGAATAATATTTCAAGATTTTAATGTTTTCAAAACCTGTATACTATTTCTAATATTCAAATTTAGGTGATTTTTATTTTTAATATGCTTACTAATTTTATTGTTAACTTTTTTAAAGTACACACCCTATGTTTATTTTTCAAGAATCCGTCTGAAGCCAATTCCAACAATTGTTCTTCTTCCGCATGCGACAATCCTTCTGGCATGGAGTTTGTATTAATATTAAACGGATATCTTATCCATTCAATATTTTTTTTAAATCGGGGAAATGGTTTTTCCAGTTCACCTACAAACTCTAAAACTGCTGTGTTATATGTATTTCAGAGTATCAGCATCAATTGTAGTAGCAGAACTTGTTATAAACTCATGAAGAGAGAGAAGCGAATCTATTTCTCCATTACTATCTCTACTTTGCCATAAATTTCATTTTGCGATGGCAGCGTTTACTTTATCATGCACATGAAACAATTTAAATTTATTACCTTGTAAAGATAAGTTCAAGCAATTTAAAATTGAAAATATGTCAGCTAATTATGACAGTTTACTGAGCCACTGAAAGTCACGCAAACAACTCTTTAGTTCAAAATTATCTTCAAGG